GATCAAGTAATATACGCAAGAACACCCCTTGAAAGTTTTGAAGGCTCTACTAGAATTGGGACTAGGATTGTGTGGTATTCAGGTTATGCTTTGTGTGCTTTTATGTTTTTATCCAAACTCAGTTTGGTTGTGTGTTATACGACCTTACTTTATACCTTACCACCTATAAGTGTGTGACTGCCTTATACTTGCTTTATTTTTACTCATTGAAAGAGGATCCCGAACACCTGGATGAAGAGGAATGCCCAAAATTGCTGTGGAAAGACAAAAACAAAAAGGAGAGAAAAATCAAGGAATGGAGGATCAACATATCTTTATTCATGTCCTCCTAACAACATCAACTCTCTAATCGCGTCGAATACATGCGCGCAAAGACTAACTAGACTTCTCCCACAGTATAAAAACTGGAGAGGCTTCTACTACAAACAACCTGGCCAGAACCAGGTCGAGTGCGACAAAAGGTGGGGTGGCTAGAACGAATCTTCGCCAACACCCAAGCACGAAGGAGAGGCCAAGTCCACCTGGCGAGCAACTCTTCCCCAGACAGGGCTTTGGACCAGACCTGATAACAAAAGAAGGTCAAGCCAAAGCAAAACAAGCAAGCAGTAACTGACACTCCCTGAAAGAGGACATCAAAGGCCTCACTGTGGCAAGAGAAGGAGCCTCAGCCATCTCCAATTCCTCAAACAAAGGATTCAGAACTGACTGAGGCACCTCTTCCAATTGATTTTCTGCCTCTGATTCGCTCTAACAATTTAACCCAGCACACAAGAAGCACAGCAATAGCAAAAAGTCCAAAAACCCATTAGAAATATGGCTAACCTTCCACCACAAAAAACTACACACCTTCAATTTTATCCTTTTGCAACAGCAGATTGTAAGTACTGCAAAGGGAGATCCAACCCCAAATACTCCAATTACCCAAACTAAAGCTTCCAGTAACCACTGTGGAAACTCTGCATGGATAACTGAACCATCAGGGAAAACTGCAGAAATATTCAGTTAGGAAATAGACAGGTTTTTAGATTTTTCTGCAATATCTGACAGGGTCCCCCTAGTAGTTTTGGAAGGGATCTCCTCTATTGGCACCACCTCCTCTACAGGTACCATCTCCACTGTTTGTTCTAACTGGGTTTCAGGCACAACAGTCACAACATCATTTTTATTAAAAACACTGTTGTCTTGATCCTGGATGGTAACAGTTTCTTCCTCCCAAGGTACTGTTGTAGGTTGACTTGTGGTGCTGATCCTTTGCTTGATTACAGCTGATGAGGTCAGTGGTGTTGTTGATGATGTTCTGTGCAGTGAAGTCTTCTGAACAGGTTTTGAAGTCCTGAGCTCCTCCTTGACTGTTTTTTGTTTCTCTGAAAAAATGAAAAAGTTGAATCAATAGGCTCTAAGGTGATTTTTTAGCAACTTACTTGTGTGTTTGAAAAAACAGGGACTCCAAGGTCTCACTATTTCTTCCATGCCTAGAATTTTCCCCGAACAGAAAGTCCTGTTGAATAACCTGACTTCCTGAAAAGATACAAGAAAAAAGTTCAAGCTATGTTATCTTTTTATTTTTCAGGAGGAACTCACCTTGAGACCTTTATACCTAATGCAGTCCAAGTCCAAGGAGTCTCCAACAAAGTCCACTTGAAATTTGTGAAGAGCAGGTCTTCTAACTTCACAAATATCTTCACAGGCAAGCCTGCCTCCAACTTCTGCTCAGGAACTACCTTCACCATCTTGAGGAGACACCAACAAGACCTAGAAAATATTGAATGCATTTAAAAATCCATATTTTCACTGTTTTGGTGCAAAAACTTACCCAAAGAAGTGTAGATGTCACTGCTAGACAAAGTCCCATTTTGCTCCTTTTTGTTGATGTTTCTGCTTCCTGGAAGATGAGTGACTTGTTTTTTTTGGCTATTGGGTGGTCCCTGACGTGCTTTAATGGCTCTTTAGAGCCCCCACAACCGAACGCTGTCGGACTTTTTGCAAATATTACGCGCTTGATATTTACAACGATGGAGCGCGACGGACAAAAAAAGGGTCTTTGAAATGCCCTTAATTAACACAAAAAAATGCCTAGACACCAAAAAACCAAGAAAAGAAAGCAGGACATTAAAAATTAGCACCATCAAAGACTTTCACTGAGACTTACTTGAGATGTAGTCTCCACCAGAAATGAGCCATAAATGAGACCTGAATCCTTTTGGAATGTCCCAGGAAGGAAAGAAACAAGTATTGATACCTGTTTCTTCCCAGAGTGTGACTTTTTGCCACATTCCTGTTCTCAGATGAACCCAGTGAACTCCTGCATCTGAGAATCCTCATATGGGTGCCACACAAAATGTGTGAGTTCAAATTGAACCCCAGAGTGATTTCAAGAATTTTTTGATGCAGTGACATATTGTATGGGAATCGATGCCCAGATGTGTCATCATTCAAAAACATCGATTTCATTCACTTTTTCACTTGGAATCCGGCTTATTGATGAGCACTTTTGGAAACGCTTATGATTGGCTCTGAAAAGGTGGAACTTTTCTTTCAATTTGTCTGGGGAGAGTTTGTGATCCAAGACTTAGTGTCCTGTACTAGAGCAATAATACCGTGCGCATTAAAGACGCAGATCATGGAACGGTGTTGCATAGCAACTCGTCGCTCCAAAGCGCACAAGGTCAGTTGTCTAGACAGCAGTCATTTACCTGCCCTACTTTTGATTTGGTTGCATCCTGCTTGCGCAGTTGCGTCTGGAACGTGTTGAATCTATAAAGGGTACTTGCGTGCATTGAACTAACATCCATTTGTGTGTCTGGCGTTGACTGAGGTAAACCAGAAATATATGTATCCACTCTAAACTGAGAAGTTGTGTTTTACTTACAAACCCCGGCATAAGAACAAAATCTTCTCGTTGAAAGTTTGTCTTAGAGAATTTACATTCACTAGATTAATTGACTCTGTAGAAAAGACATTTTCTCCAGATCAAAAGTGTCTTAAGATAAAATTCTTACGGAATTAGGACAACAAGATATACTCAAAGTACTGGACGATGACCAAGACGACGAGGCCCCAAAGTGGAAATGGGAAGGCCCTCAGAGTACCAAAGAAAAACAGTGGGAAACGGATGAAGAAGAAACTGCTGTAGCCACAACAACCACTGGAAGAGAACAGAGGAGAAAAACTCTTGGTTCAAAAATCCATAAACATCCCGTGGATAAACAGGCTATCAAATCCATCTTGAAAAGGCAGAAAGAATCCAGAGAAAAACAGGATTCATCAGCTTTGCAATCCGAACAAGAAGATTCTTTCGTATCAGTGCCAGATTTAGACGCAACAGTAATACCAGCGTCACCCAAAAGAAAGACAGGTCTATTTCAGAAGACTAAAGAAATATTCGGAGAAGTCACTGATGAAATAGGAAGATTTTTCGATACCACTATGGATACTCTACCAAGCTTGTCCAAAACTGTCCTTCAGAAAGGCCCGCCACCTGCCTCTAGCACACCAGAATTGATGAAGCAACTGACAGCAGGAAGAGGTGAAGGAACACCCGAAAGAACACCCAAAAGAACGCTGCAAAGAGAAGTAGAAGGAGCAGTTGCATTAACTCCAAGGCAGGTAAGGAACAAGGAGAAATGGAAAAAGTTCAAGGAAAAGAGAGACAGCAAGAAAAAGGATAGAAGGTTGTCCACCCAGTCTAGAGACAAAGAAGAGAAAGGTGAAGCAGCAGAGGATGATGACAAAACAGAGAAAGAAAGGGACGACAAAGGGAAAAGGAAGTTAGATTTAAATCCAATGGATCGCCCCTTGCTACGTCATCTAAACCCAGACAATGTGTTGCCAACCAGAACGAGGCCAAAGAAAGAAATAAAAACCTCATGGCAACGACTGCTGACAAGGCAGCAGGCACGCATGGCTGAACTACTCAAGGCCAAGCGAGCCCGAAAAAAGACTGAGTCACTGAAAGAGTGAAAAAACTGTGCAGTGACCAGTACGCAGTCTGCCGTCAAAGGGTTAACATTTGGTCAAAATTATAAAGAAACATTATGGAAGTGTATAGAAAAATTGTGGAAATATACATTTGTATCTGTATCCTGGATGTGTCATTTTCCCTCACAATTAAGGAAATCCCCATCAACGACAAAGGTACGTCATTGAATTTAAACAGATTTGATAAGACGTCCCCCATACACAACTTTCCTGGTAGCGTTGGCGTTGTTTTGGAAGAAATGTATCCGATATGTGTACCGAATGGTTATTGGACGTTAGAATCCTCGATAGACATAGGAGAATTGGTTAAACAATCCGACATGATTACAACCAAAATCTTTAATCATGTAAAAACCAATATTCCACCCGGCGAAACAATAGACAGTGCTCTGTTTAGTTTGCTAAAAGCCAAAAATACGGATTTAGACAATAGAATCAAGAATCTAAAACACAGAATTCAAACTGAACCTAGAAACTTTCCTAGAGATGCGATGTTCACAGGAATGCTTCCCATATTGCAAAGACAAAAAGAAGATATTAAGGGAACAGTTGCACAAGAGAAAAGGGTCCAGTTGTTGACTTCTTCAAAGTATCAGGTAATTACGAACAAGGTTTTTAAAAATAGTATCAGCTTAGCAAGCAGGGTGGAACAGGCCAAGTGCAATTCCACAGAGTCATGGTTTCTTACATTGAGTTTGGGCCTAGAATTAGATCAGGCTAACAAGGTTATATTGTCCTTACTACAAGATATTGATTGGATACATAATTTCCAATTTCCAAATTTTTTATATTATGACGAATATGTGAATGCCGCGCTAGGTAAGGTATTAGAGGCTGAAAATAAGCCGCCTATTTATGTCTTACCTGTGCAGGAATTACTAACGTTAATTAAATCGCATGAATTGACTATAGGAGCAATGGACGGGTGTGGAACGAATGAAACGTGTAATTACAGGATAACGACAATTGTACCAGTAATTAGGCAACCGGAACTTCTAGAATTGTTTAAAGTTCATAGTGTGCCGATTGCGGAAGATACGTACATGGGAGCGCCCAAGTGGCATAAGGTAAACTTGTCAGAACCTTATTTGCTAACTCAAGGTGCTAAAATGTTTGCTTCGCAAGCAAGTGAATTACCCTTATGTTTACCGCAATACGGCCACGCCTTATGCAAATTGTGTAAATTTCCCAGGCCTCCAGTCTACGAAGCTAACGATTGTGTTAAATCAATTCAGAACGGAGATCTGGAGTCCACAATTAAAAGTAAATGTCCGTTAATTGAAACCAAAGTACCGGAGAATACAGTCATACAATTAGATGCAGACGAATTTGCTTTTATTGACTCAGACAAAGGGCGTATTACGCAGTATTGTTCTGAAATTAACGCTCAAGCATCTGAAAATACTTATGAGTTGCCATATTCAGGTATTATTCAATTTAGACCTAATTGTCGTTATACCGTGATTAACGGGCCATTTCGCGAAATGACCCCAAGACTGGAAAACATTGAGATAAATGCAATTAATGAGATCCCGGCTAATGTCCCAGGAATTAAATCAATTATTGAGGACATTAGTGAGTTACAACTACATTTCCGGGATAACAGTTATATTTATCTCATTGTTTTAATTATATTACTAACTATTATACTTATCGCAATTGTATATTTCTGTTTCGCGAGGATACAATATGTCTTACAGAGAAGAAGGCGTTTAGAAGCGATAGATTTAAATGATATGTCGGCCTGTGTCGAATTGGTTACAGAATCCATCCCTTCCCGACCCGCACCAAAGTATCCCAGAATCCGCATGAACCCTTCCACCGGAATACTTTCCCTGAGCACCAGCTGAGAACAGAGTAAAGGTAAACAGGATTTCTCTCTGTACAAAGCTCATTCTTTATTGAGGATTTCCTAACAGTTACACGCCTAAATCATCGGTCACTGAAACAAAATCATCTGAGCTCGTATTAACCCCAGACTCTTGCGCTTCATTAAACACAGGTTCAAGATCAGCCAGGGTCGGAGCTGGAAGAACAGCCAGAGGAGCAGCTTGCGTGAAGTCCAGAGAGATCAAATCCGCAACTCCTTCAGCCAACGATTGCGGTGGTAAAGGCAACAACGCTGGAGTCATCGGAGGCATGAGGATTCTCCAAACTTCTTCCGCCCTCCTCAGGAATGGCAGCAACCAAGGCTGAGAAAATAGGACAAAAAGAAACACCCAAGGAAAACATGCAGTCATGCAAAAACAGGGTTTACTGTCCAGCTAAGTCTTACCAGGTTTAAAGGTTGTCATGCGCGGAATGCATGACCTGATAGTGGCAAATCCATCCTTTATCTCGTTAATTGAAGCTTCGTGCATTACAATTGGGTTTGAAGATATTTCTTGCATTTCAATTTCCTCAATATCTTTTTTGGATTTGGAGTTACTATCATTTGATGTTAGGCAATACTGGTTAGTAATGATGGTTGGTTAAAAAGGAAGGCACCATGCAAAGTGTGTTTTTAAAATTGAAAAGAAGTGCTGAACAAAAAACGGAAGTACCTTCTTCCTCAGGCAATACATCGCCCATCCAGCAGCCAGTCCAAGAACAGTAAATCCAAGGCCACTAATCAAACCAACGGCCCAGTTAGAAAATAGCTCTGAAGCAAATTCAGCTCCCAACACTGCTTTCCCTTCCACGACCGTTAGCGTAATGTTGGCCTTGTCACCAGAAAACAATTTAGTTTCCGGTAGATCCGAAAAATTGTTGA